TTTAATCTCTTTGTTTTGATTAATACGCATGATCATGGCCCTGTCTTTGGCTTTCTGTTTGTTCATTTTTTTTATTAATATTTTACTCATAAAACTGCATTAGAAGCGAAATTATTTGAACACAAAACCTCTTAGAATCGGGAACCTCCTCATATTTTGAAACTAAATATTAACATCCAAAAAAAATTTTTATTTTTGAAAACTAGCTAGAATAGTTCATTAAACGCTCCACTTCAACAAGCCTCTTTCCCAAGAAATAAACATATAATAATTTATAAGAAAACAATAAGAAGGAAACAAAAGGAAAAAACAGTTTTGCCCCATGCCGAGGAAATAGCAAGATAAGCGGAACGAATGGAGATTGACTTCCCATTTCCATTATATATGTAATTGTGTCGGATAATTATACATACATCCAAACAATCAACACCTATCTCAACATCCAAAACTAAAATAAGGAGGAATAAATTTATAATTTTACTGTTCATAAATCTTGAGTGTTGAAATGGGTGTTGATTGTTTAGGTGTATGTATAATTGTTCAATTGTGTCTGTAAGGTACAGTGAAAATTTTTTCTTTAAATGAAATAATAGACCCTTCTTTTTTTTTTTTGAAAATAATAGACCTAAATTGAGTGGTAGTGATGTGAGTTGAGTGAATAAATGGATAAGAGATTATGTCTAAAATTTTATAAAAATATATATAAATGTTTAAAAAATTATATTGTTTAATTAAATAACTAAACATATTTAAATATTTTTAATAATTTAAGATATACAAAATTTTATTAAAAATATTTAAATAATTTTATAAAATAATTTAAATATTAAAATATCATAATTTTTATTATTTTTCTCTAGACTCTTTTCCTTTTATTTAATATCATTATTAATTCTCCTTTGGCAATTACTGTATTTTTTTTTACTTAAACCCTTTCGAGATATTAACTAAAAGGGTTGTTGTATAGGTAGGGTTACACATCACCTGCACCTACAAATGCCTCCAAATAAATTTTAAGATTAGATTTACTAATAAATAAGTATTTTCTTATAAATTAGATTCAAGATTTTAGTCTTGAGACTAACATTTTAAAGCACCATATTGATATGAGAATACACCTTAAGATCACTCATAGTGGTTTAATCTTATAATCAATTACGTGATTTGTTAACAACGTTATTTTTACCTTTAGCCACAGGTTTAGGTTTCAAATTTCAAATTACTACATATTAAAAAATGTATTAACTTTAAAATATGTAAAAATTAATGCAAAAACATTTTGATTGTAAATAATCATAATAATAAAAGTTTTTCTATAACCAACAATTTAAATAACTCAGTGATTATATTATTTTACTGGAAGTAAGAGATTCTGAATTTGAAACGCATTGAATGAGGGTGAGATAGGAGATGATTGCCTCTCATCGTGTAACTAAAATATTAAAAAAAAAAAAAAAAAAGCCTTCCTATAAGGACATTCTCAAGAGGTCCATTTTCATTTTATATGTATTCAATTAATTATTAATCTCAATTGGCCGCAATGGACGACATCGTGACTCATGCATTAATTCGTACCATAATTGAATTCCTTCTTTCCTTTTTAAAACTAAAATTCCTTGGAATAATGCTTACCAATTTTTTTTTTTTT